AGCATATTTTCTGCAAATCCAGAAATTCCTTCCTTCCTTCCTTCCTTCCTTCCTTCCTTCCTTCCTCTTGTTTTAAAGAAAAGAGAAACATGTATGAGCAGAACTGTAGGACATGATTTATACACTAAAAATCTGAATGAAAAGCTACATAACCAGAAAGGTTCACTTGATGACTCAGGACTTTTTGTCCAGAGCTTTCATATTTTTCTTTGTAAGCCTAGAAGCTTACTTTACATGAAGCTTACTATATATAAATTATAGTAGCATTCAACCAGCTATGAATATCATCTTTATTAGTATACAAACACCTAACTAGGTGCCTTGACTTTTAGCAGCTTTATTCTTTTCCCTACTTAACTGGAAATAACTCATGGAGCATCCTGTTATAAAAAAGATGGAATAATATCAGGACATTCTGATGTCCTGATTTTTAAATTAATTTGGCACCCAGTTATGGAACTCTGTCCTGGAGGAAGAACAGTGTTCCTTATCCTGCACATGAAGTGAAAGCCAAAGGGAAGCTTTCTCAGTAGCTGCCCTCAACCTAGGAACAGGGGCCCCTTGAGGTACATGGAACCCCCAACCTATTAGCCTTTTAGACAGCTGTGAAGAGCATCTTATTCCTGCAAACATTTTATGAACTATCTTTTAGCATAATCGAGTGTGGATTAAATCTGGTATTTTTCTGTTTAAGTGGGTTCTCAAGGAAGCATATGAATTGTTGTATATGGACATACACATATATACGTTAAACAAGATATTAGAACAGAATTATAGTATCAGAGTAAATAAGTAATCATGGCTTTTTTGAATGATTAATTAAAAAAAATGTTTCATTTTCAAGATATTTATAACTCTTTGACTTGACTTTTGTATTGCATTACACCTTGCATTGTATTTTAACAGATAGGCATTTCTTTTCAAAGTTGACTTGGCCATAAACGAATGAGACATCTAATAAGGGACCTGGAGATTTGCTTATTAAAACAAAAAACAAAAACCTGCCGAGAGTCTTGGCTATTCTGTTCTGTGGCATTTTATGTGGCAGTCAAAGCTTGCATCCTATGCATGGTTTGCAAAGAAAAATGGCCAATTGATGAAGTCAGATGGCAGCCAGAAAGAGAGAGAGATTAAGAGAAGGAGACCTCACCAGGGGAGAAAGACCCATTTTCTCATTAAAATGACTTGCTGCATTGTCACTGATGGAAGGGATGCTATTCCAGTTAAGTCCCTAGATCCATCACAGGGCTGTCTTAGATCTGAGTAGGAATAAAGAATGAGGGCAGTTTCAAATGTACTGTTGTAGTGGACAGGGTCCCTTTTTCAAATCCTTCATCAATTTAATCACTCCATGCATCTGATTAGTGAGCTATAGCTTATGAAAGCTAATGACTTTTAGTAAAATTTGTTATTTGCAAAAGATGCTTCTGGTTCATATTTTCCTTAGGAACTAATATTGAGATTAAACCAAATTTTACACATATAAAGCTGTAAAACCAAAAACATGCAATCAGTTTTCTATTAGGTACCTACTGATCTCTCTATCAAAATTTGGAAACAACAGCCCAGTGAAATTTTAACCTCTTATTTTGGGTTCATATAGATGTTCCACTGTCTGGTGCCCAATGTAACACTTTTCTCATGTGGGGAAGGTAAACTTTATTGTGGTCTTTAACCAACTTATGTACACACATACATATAAAGTTCAACACACATCATAAAAAATAACAATTAAAAGAAATTAAAAGAGTTAAAAAGGAAAGGAAAGGAGAGGGAAAGGGTAAAGTTTGAAGGTATCAAAGAAATGCAATTTTATTGGCTAATATTTGCTGC